CACACTCTCTCAGGCCTCATCGACACTGCCATTATAATGCAGATTGAACGGAGAGTCCACACTGACCATATAACGAAGTTCATTCTGCATTACAATGGCAGTGTAGGTAAGGGTCTCTGCCTCAGGGGAAGGCAATGGCAACCTGCCCTCATTCACAATTCTGCCAAGATAACCCTATTATTGAGGTTCAGCCCTGAACAGCACAAATCTCTTGTGACATCAAGTCTCCAGTCCTCAATGAGTAGCTAGGCTAGGCACAGGGCTAAGCTGAGGGATTTCCTATGCAAGTTCCTGCTGCTTATGGAACTGCTTTACTTCTGGTACTCTGCTATGTTGGAATCACCCCAACTGAGGGTTGTTTGGAGCCTAACAGCTTAGATTCCCCAACAAAGGGTTATGGGCCCAGCACACTTTCACTGAGCATAGCTTTGAAGGACTGGTAAAAAGGAGCAACACCTATAAATCAGAAATGAGTTGAGAGCACACAAGAATATAAACAAACAAACAAAAAAGAGCAAACCCATTTAATACTTGGGATTTACTTCTACTCACTATTCAATAACTAAACTAATCAGTCTCTTGTAAGTGTCTTTACCACGTTTCTAGATATTTTGGACTTCAGCTCCCAGAATCCCTGATTGTTGGCCAAGACAGCTGAGGTTTCTGGGAGTTAGAAAGAAACCCTAGAGAGACAGAGTTTGGGAATCACTGCCTAATCATTAGGAGTCAGATTCCATCTATATATTTATTCATTCATATTTAGGGAAAATCCAGTGTTGTAAACCCCTTTCCCAACAACCCAGAACTTCTATTTTAACCTGGATCTTCCATGAAGTCTCAGCGGTATATAATAATAATAATAATAATAATAATAATAATAATAATAATAATAATAAATATAATTTATATTATTATTATAATCCCGAATTTGATTTTCCTGTTTCTTGGCAGGAATAAGGATGGCCCATGACGTCTCTTCCAACTCTATGATTCTAATAATAATAATAATAATAATAATAATAATAATAATAATAATAGATGCACACTGAGGTACACTAACCTACATTTCTTTTCTGTCAATAGGAAGAACAGCCCACAATGGATAAAAAATGGACAATATTTCATTTCCACCCATAAAAACAATATCCTACAGTGGCTCAACAGCCTAATGTTTTGCTCAAAAGGAACAATAAGCTAGAGTGGGTCAACATTGTGAAATAGGCTACCTTTTGTTTCTACCTGTAAAAACAATAGGCTACAATGGGTAGACGTGGTGAAACAGGCAACATTTAATTCCTGCCCATAGGAACAATATCCTACAGTGGACCAACATGGGACAATAGCCTATATTTAATACTTGCCCATAGGAACAATAGCTTACTGTGGATCAACATGGTCAAAAAGCCTACATTTGCTCTCTTCCCCTAGGAACAATACTTTGCAATGGATCAACAGGATGCAATAGCCTAGGTTTGATCTCTACCCATAGGAATAATAACAGATGGTGGCTCAACATGGTCTTTGCCCATAGAAACAACAGCCTGCAGTGGATCAAATTTGGAGATGGAGAAGGGCTCGGGTTCTATAAGCTCTTCCAGCTTTATTATTCCATTTTCTGACTTCAAGGGGGGGGGGAAGAGATAAGAAGGACTAGCATAATTTGAGGTGTAAGGAGGAGGGGCAAGGCGGAAATAACTGGGGGGGGGGGGCTACACAATACAAAACCCAGTAAGACCCTTTTTGCAATGGCAAAAGTGGAAAAGGGTACACTTTTTCAACTAGAGATCAATAAAGGACTATTTTCTAGGTCAGTCTTTAGGAACAGGGGGATCCCCTCAAATGGAGCAGGTCAAATGCTAAGGATATCCCTGTTTTGCTGACTGTTTACAAGGCATGGGTACTCAAAGGGTAAATAAAGGCAAGGAAAACAATCGAGGAAGAAATCCTATGTGGATCTGCTTCCTCCATTCATTAAAATGCAAAACAGTTCTAAAATAAGACATAATTTATTTTCTCGCGTATCTCTTTCTGTGTTTTTTTTTATTCATTTGGCAAAACCACCTCTGAGTAATCCTCACCTAAGAAAACCCTGTTAAGTTCATGGTGATGCCATAAATCGACAGAGGACTCGAAGGCACACACAGATTTTCGAGGAAAAGAAATATTATATTCGTTCCTCTCTCTTTAAAAATAAACCCCAGTTAAAAGGAGAGACTGGGAGGAAAAGAGGGAGGCGGAAAAGAAAGAAAGAAAGAAAGAAGGAGGGAGGGAGGGAAGAAGAAGAAGGGCGAAAGATTAAAGACAGGTAGATGTGCTCGGGGCTACAAAGCGTGCCTTTTCAGGTTTGGCCTCCAAACCCTGGAACATCTCTTACTGAACTCCTCAAATGACAGGATGTAATTTTTATGGGGTTCTTTTTCCTTTCTTTCTGTTTGAAAATGTTCTCAACTTGTCCACGGAAGGGAAACACACACACATACACAACCCTCTGTCACGTTTCTAGAGAATCTGAAAAGGAGGAGGAAGGTTTTCAAAAAGCACACCCCTTCTATATTATTATTGTTGTTGTTATTATTATTATTATTATTATTATTATTAGAAACAACAAGATTACTACACAGCAAATAAGATCACTATGCTGGCTGTTGTATTGGATCACAAGTCGGTCCCTTCCCAAGTGTCTAGGACTATTGTTATAATTATATTACTATTATTATTACTATTATTATTATTATTATTATTATTATTATAGTCGCTCCTGACACGAAAAAATATATTATTGGAACCTTTTGTACATTAAAAAAGGGCCCATCAGCATATAACTGCGCCAAGATTTGGGGCGAATTAGTGAATGATTTCTCATTTTTATTATTACTGCAGTTATGTTTACAATTCAGTTCTAAGCCAAGAGGAAACATGCCTCTAATTTTGTAGCCGCCTCGCCTCTTCCGGCACCCGAGCGACGCCGGCAAGAGGTCTAAATGGACTCCTGGGGGTCTTGCAACCCACTCCACCCGTGTTTCCCTCCTCCCCGCATCCACCTTTATGCTCGATAGTAAAGAGAGAGCCTGATCCTTTCAAAGGCGGGCTCCCTCCTCCCCCGCCGCATCCCTTGTCTTTCCAGATCGCCTTTGTTTTGAGCTGTCTCTCTCTCTCTCTCTCTCTCTCTCTCTCTCTCACTCACTCACTCTCTCTCTCTCTCTGCCTCCCCATCTCCAGCCCGCCAGTTCAAGTATTTATAGGAGCTCCAATTGGAAGGGAACCTAATTTGGATAATTAGCCGATGGGATTCTCCCGGGTAATTGCTCTCATTGTTGATCTGAAGGGTTAGAAAGAGAAAGACAGCGCGATTTGTTCTGTTCTTACCTAGGAGCTGATTATTATCCTTTCTCTTCCCTATCGCCACATTTCTGTCTGTCTCTCTCCCTCTCCCTCTCTATATATACTTCAACGACTTACTTTTGTAAATTACTGGCCTTACTAAAAGGAATATGTTATTATTATCATCAATAACATCAATAATATACTAAAATATATTTTTAGTATATTATATAATAATATTATATCATTATAATATAGCAATATATTATTACATTAAATAATATTAAATGATTTATTATTAATTATTTAAGGTTCTTCAATATAATATTCTTGTTATTTAGTATATTATATAATAATATAATTATTATATAGGAAAATATTAGTATATTAAATAGCATTAAATAATGTATTAAGATTATTTAATGTTCTTTAATATAACATTTTTATTATTTATTATATTATATAATAATATAATATAATTATTATATAGAGATATGTTATTATTATATTAAACAACATAAATTTATTATTAATTAAGGTTATTTCATATAATAATATTCTCATTCTATATTGTTATTTAATGATATTAAATAACATTAAATAATTTATTATTATTTGAGGTCCTTTCATATAATATTATTATCATATAATATAATATTATATAAGATTATATAGAAATGTATTATATTAAATAACATTAAATAGTGTATTATTAATTATTGAATGTTATTTAATATATTATTAATTATATTATATAATAAAATAATATAATTATTATATAGGAGTATATTATTATAGTAAATAACATTAAATAATTTATTATTATTTGAGGTCCTTTCATACAATATTCTTATTATCATATAATATTATATTATATAAGATTATATAATAGTATATAAGATTATATTATTAATTATTGAATATAATTAATATATAGGAGTATATTATTATTATAGTAAATAACATTAAATAATTTATTATTCATTATCAGTTCTTTAATATAATATTCTTGTTATTTATTATATAATAATATTATACAATTAGTATGTATACCCTGCTTTCCTCTTTTTAACGGGACTCAAAGCAGCATTTGACCTCACCCTTTCAGTACCCAAATCACCTTCTAGGGTTGGGAAACGAGTGGCTCAATCCCACCCCACACATTTTTAAATAACAGACTAGTTTCCTCTGGATTTGCCAAACTGCATGGGAACTGGTGCGCGGAGAATTGGTCCCCACGAGGCCAAAAACACCCATTCACACGTTATTACAACTCTACACGTGTCTAATCAGAACCCGGGTTGGTTGGAATTTTTTTTTGTCCGGTTGAAGCTATCTCCATTTCTGCGAAATGATCAGTGCAGAAGTCTACAGTTGCCTTTCTCCTTCTAGAAAAATTATAATATAACTATATAGCTCAGGCATGGGCAAACTTGGGCCCTCCAGTTGTTTTGGACTTCAACTCCCACCATTCCTAACAGCCTAAGCGGGTGAGGGGGGAAAGGAAGGGGCCTGAGGCTGTTAGGAATGGTGGGAGTTGAAGTCCAAAACACCTTCAGGGCCCAAGTTCCCCAATGGAAAAGTACAGGGAGGAAAAGGAGGAAGAAAGGGTGCAAAAAGGGACTGCCAGGCATCCTCCCCCTCCATTCCCCTTTCACCAAATCCAAGAGGAACACTACTGGAAACCATTCTCAAATATATTTGTTTGTATTCTCTTTTTCTTTCCTTTCTTTTCCTGTTCCGTTGTTGGAAATAATTTTATTTTATTCAGAATATACATTTAATTCCTCTATCTACAGGTATGTACAGGGTTGAAAATGACATTTTGAAGGGGGTGGGGGTGGGGAGAGAGAGAAAAAAAAGTCTCTGGGAAAAAAAGTTTTTGAGGTCGAGAAGATTTCAAGGCACCTTTGAAAAGTGTCCACGGCTGATAAAAAAAAATTCCAACAACAAGAACAACAACAAAAAAACACCCCAAAATGAAACCAAAACAAGAAAACAACCACCCAGAAGTCCGTTTTAAAAAAAAGTAGGCGGGGATTGGAACGTTTCCTTTGAAATGCAATAAGTTACATGCACAAGCGTTACACAAGTCATCCTCCTGTATAGGCTCCTTCATAAAGTCCCTCCCTTTTGCAATATCTTTTTTTTCTTCCTCCTTCTAGGAGAATAATCATCAAAGTCCCAAAGTGAAGAGCAAAAGGGGGCCGAAGAAGGAACGACGTTGCTGTGATTCTTATTAGGGTTTTTAAAAAATAATAATAACAAAGGGCCCGGTTCTAATAAATTGTCCCGGTGGCCAAAGCTAAGGGGTGTTGTAGCGAAGTGTGGGGCTGGAGGTGGGCGTTGAGGGCGTTCCCGCTGGAGTACCACGAGGCCGAGTTCTCCAGGAAGCTGGAGGCCGGGGAAGGGTGGGAGGCGGGCCCGTGTCCCTGTCCCGCGTGGGGGTGGTGGCTCAGGGACCGACCGCTGCCCTGCGAGTCCCACACCGCCGGGGACTGCGGGGAGTTGCAGGCCATGGGGTCGCTGGCGCTGGGGCTGTGCTCCGGGGGCATCTCCCCGTTCTTCATGATCTTCTTGATCTTGGACCGCTTGTTCTGGAACCAGATCTTCACCTGGAGAGAGAAGGAAGGCGGAGGGAGGGGGACACAAGGAGGGAGATAGTGAGCTGCCACTCAGGTCAAGGCGCATTCTCACCAGCCCAATGTGCATTCTGCTCCAAGGTCTTGCATTTGGCACAATGGGTTGAACAAAGCATCCTCCAACTGCAGCCCTCCAGCTGTTTGGGTCTCCAACTCCCAGAAGCCCCAATGAGCTTGTTCAATTGTCAGGAATTCTGGGAGTTGAAGGCCCAAACAGATGGAGGGCCGCAGTTTGAGGATGCCTGGGTTAAACCCTTGTACGGGCAGGACTAAAGACTGACAGGTCAGAGGTGCTCCAGCTCCCCATGCAGGGACTGAGAGAAGCCTCCCACAAGGATGATAAAACATCAAAACATCCCCAACGTCCTTGCAGATGTCTAATTCTCTCACGCCAGAAACTACTTGCAGTATCTCAAGTCGCTCCTGACACACACACACACAAATTGTGAGATAGGTTTATCCCCAACGTCCTTGCAGATGTCTAATTCTCTCACGCCAGAAACGACTTGGAGTATCTCAAGTCGCTCCTGACACAAAAAAAAAAAATCATTTGTGGAATAGGTTTATTATTGTTGTTGTTGTTTGTGTGTTAGGAGCTACTTAGTCGCTTCTGGTGTGAGAGAATTGGCCTTCTGCAAGGACGTTGCCCAGGGAACGCCCAGATGTGTTACCATCCTGTGGGGGACTTCTCTACTTGAAAACAGAGACTTTGATTTGAGTTAGATCCAATGGGATAAATAAATCCAGGGACTCTTGATTTATTTATCCCATTGGGTCTAACTCAAATCATTACTAAATCTTGGTCCAAGTAAATCCACTTTCTTATCGTGTCAGAAGCAGCTTGAGAAACTGCAGGTCGCTTCTGGCGTAAGAGAAATGCAAGTCGCTTCTGGTATGAGAAAACTGGCCGTCTGCAGAGAGGTTGCCCAGGGGACACCGTGTTAGAAGCAGCTTGAGAAACTGCAAGTCGCTTCTGGTGTGAGAGAATTGGCTGTCTGCAGAGAAGTTGCCCAGGGAACACCATGTCAAAAGCACCTCGAGAAACTTCAAGTCGCTTCTGGTGTGCGAGAATTTGCCCTCTGCAGAGAGGTTGCCCAGGGGACACCCTGCTAGAAGCAGCTTGAGAAACTGCAAGTCGCTTCTGGTGTGAGAGAATTGGCTGTCTGCAGAGAGGTTGCCCAGGGAACACACTGCCAGAAGCAGCTTGAGAAACTGCAAGTTGCTTCTGGTGTGAGAGAGTTGGCTGTCTGCAGAGAGGTTACCCAGGGGGTGCCAGATGTGTTACCATCCTGTAGGAGGCTCCTCTCATGTCCCCGCATGAGAAGCTGGAGCTGACACACGGGAGCTCACCCCCCCCCCCCGTTTCGAACCTACGACCTTTCCTGCCTTCCTGCCCAGGGGCTTCTCTGTAGTAATAGAATAGAATAACTATTCTGTGAGATAGTAATRGAATAGAATAACTTTGTTGTACAACAAAATCAAATGCTTTCCCCAGCATACATCACAACACAACGCACCCATCCCTTCACACTCCCACCACCACCACCACATAGCCCCCAATGCCCCATCAATGCTAAATCATGGAGTTGAATCCAGGGCCCTTCCACACAGCCATATAACCCAGAATATTAAGGCAGAAAATCCCACAATGTCTGATTTGAACTGGGTTATCTGAGTCCACACTGCCATATATTCCAGTTCTAAGCAGATAATGTGGGGTTTTATTCAGCTGTGTGGAAGGGGCGATAATTACAGTTCTAGGATAAAATCTGTCTCTTAGTCTGTATGTCTTTCAGAGCCCCCAAGGCAGTATAATATATGGTCAGTATAATAATCAATCAATCAATCAATCAATCAATCAATATAAATTGAGATTAATCCAGGTATGGGCAAACTTGGGCCCTCCAGGTGTTTTGGACGTCAACTCTCAGAATTCCTAACAGCCAGAGTTGATGTCCAAAACACCTGGAGGGCCCAAGTTTGCCCAATGTCTGAATTAATGTCTCTCTCCTTGCAGCTGGAGGTGGGGTACAACAAGCTTAAACAGGGAAATAAAATACAACGATACTCCATATAACAATAAATAGATCCATATAATGCGGTTTGACTATACAACAGCAATGTGGATGCAGCTAGAGATCATGCACCTAAAGATCAGTGTGGATGGGACCTGAGACTGGTTCTACACTGTTGTATAACTTTATTATATGGGTCTACACACTGACCACATAGCTGTTCCAACTGTATTATACAGTAATGTTGAACAAGCCTCAGTTGATTTCTCCTCATCTGCACTGATCATTTGGTGCAGTTCAGATCTAGCTTCAAACTGCGGTGGCCAGACAACAGACTCCCACAAAAGCAAGGCCCTAATGTTCACCACTACTCTATGGCAGGTGTCATCATCACCTGGGCCTCCAACTAGTTCCAGTTTTCCTATGGAATCACCGGCTCAACAAAACCAGTCTTCAAGACCTTTGACACTGCTGTAAAATCCTGGAAGTTGTGGATTTACAAGGCCTTTGGCCTTCTCTGCCCAAGAGCGCTGATGCCTCACCAAACTGCAAATCCCAGGATGCTACAGCAATGATCCATGGCAGTTGAAGTGGTGCCACACTGCACCCCTTCGAATATGCACTGCTAACTGTCGGGATCCTATAGAAATGGGGCTGACTATCCTTGGCATCCTTTTCCTTGAAAGCAACCCACAAATATATTGGGGGCTTTCCTTTCTTTCCTTTCTTTCTTTTTGCGTGTCAGGAGTAACTTGAGAAACTTCAAGTCGCTTCTGGTGTGAGAGAATTGGCTTTCTGAAAGGACGTTGCCCAGAGGAAGCCCGGATGTTTTGATGTTTTGATGTTTTACCATCCTCCTTGCGGCAACACCAGAGGCACTCCAAGTGGCCAGATACTGGTCAAAGGACATGTAGTCAACTACCAAGCTTGCAAACTTTGCATTTTTTCTGTTGTTTGTTTATTTTGTTAAAAATGTAATACAAATGTCTGCTTGCTCCTGACACGATAAATAAAATACCATCCTTGTGGTAGGCTTCTCTCATGCCCCTACATGGGGAGCTAGAGCTGTCAGAGGAAGCTCGTCCGCAGCTGTCCCCCGATTCGAACCTCCGACATGTCGGTCTTCAGTCCTACCGGCACAAGGGATTGTGCCACCTCTGAGAGGGCTGACTCTCAGAGACACGGGTGGGCTTCAATTCCCTCCTATTTTGCGCTCCAGTGAGCCTCACGCCCAATCCAAGTCACCAGTTTTAGGTCCTCTCTACACTGACTATTTAACGCGGTTCCGAAGCTAGTTTCAAACTGTGGCAGTCAGACAACTCCTACAAAAGTATGGGAAAGAAAGGATCGGGGGGGGGGGGGGGGGGGGGGTTCAAATTCAAGAATTTCCTATATAATCATATGCATGGCGAAACTACTTTCTTCAGTATCAGTTTGGAACTGTATTACATGGTCAGTGTGGATGTGCCCCTGGGTTGCAAGACAGCAGGGAGGGGAAGCCCACAAAAACCAATTCAATTCTCCGGGAAACAAACCGGGAGGGTGATATTCCTTTTAAACAACCCCTCAGAAACACACCCTCCAAGGATCCAACACAATGCCTCTCCTTCCACGCAATGCCCCACGCCCCAGTTCGCGATCTCGGTATCTGAGTGGGAAAAGAGCGAAAGCGAGAATCGGGGCCTTCCCGATGTTGGGAGTTGAGGCCTCTCTGCCATTTCCACGTTGCAAAAGGCAAGCCAATGGGAACAAAGGTGAGTGTGGATTGAGGTGCTTGTGTGAGCAACCTTGCTTCCACCTGTACGAAAAGCCCTACGGCGAGTTGGACCGCTTTCCCCAAACTACAGCCGGGAACCGCTTCCCCCAAAATTGCAGCCAATCCGAGGCCCCACGCGTGCCATTCCCCATACCCCACCCCACACACCACCTTTGTCTCCACGAGGTTAGAAACTAGACTTCATCCGGTGTGCTTATTTAGAAAACAAGAGAGGAAATTTCTGTGTTGGGGAACCAAAAGGGAAGCCTTATGGAAGTGGGCCGAAACGGAATAGATTTCCACCTTTTCCACACTTTTCCCCAGAATCTGACCATCCTAAAATAAAAAACACACCTCAAACCAAAAAGGGTTCAACCCAGATTGGTGAGGGATATAAAAAATCCGGAGCAATCTTGAAGAGAAACGCGCTTCACCGGCGCCTCTGTGTGTGTTGTGCCTAAATGCGCTTTTAGAGACACTCTTTGGACAGAGAGACACAGATACATGAACTACACTCTGCGCTCACGGTAGAGGCATCTGATTCAGCTTGAGCTGCTTGATATGGCAGTGTGGGTCCAGCCCCAAGTGAGGCCTTACCTGCGTCTGCGTGAGTCCCAAGGAGGCCGCCAGCTCGGCTCTTTCCGGCAGGGCCAGATACTGGGTTTTCTGGAACCGCCGCTGCAAAGCCGCCAGCTGGAAACTGGAGTAAATCGTCCGCGGTTTGCGGACTTTCTTTGGTTTGCCGTTCACCATCCGCACCTCCGGCTCCGCCACGTCTTTTTCTATAGGGCGATGGGTAGGTGAGGGGGGGGGACACAAAGGATGGATGGAAGGAAAGAACAACAAGGAAACTTAGAAACCAAAAAAGAAGAGGAAAGCTGGCATCTCACCCTGCTTGACCCCGACGTGGCCCAAGCCAAGTTTGCAAACAAATGCTTTGGGGGGAAAATGGGACAAATGGGGGTGTCTATACTACTGGGGTAACGGCGCTCCATGCAGTCATGCTGGCCACATGACCTTGGAGGTGTCTACTGACAATGCTGGCTCTTCGGCTTAGAAATGGAGATGAGCGCCACCCCCCAGAGTCGGATACGACTAGACTTAATGTCTGGGGAAACATTTACCTTTTACCTATAGTACTGGGGAGTCTGTGTTGTTAGGCTCTAAATAACCTTCCGTTGGGGTGATTCCACCATAAATATTCCCCAGCACACGAGAAGCCCGTCTAGAGAAAATTTAAGAAAATATGTGGGGTGAATAGGAATGCAGGCCTTTCCACATAGCCCTATATCCCAGAATATAAAGACAGAAAATCACACATAATCTGAGTGTAGCCTGTGACAACCCAGTTCAGATATTGTGGGATTTTCTGCCTTGATATTCTGGGATATTTGTTGTTCATTCAGTCGCTTCAGACTCTTCTGGACCTCATGAACCAGCCCACGCCAGAGCACCCCAGCTCCTTCAAGATGTGTGTATGTGTGTGTGTATGTATGTATAGATAGATAGATAGATAGATAGATAGATAGATAGATAGATAGATAGATAGATAGAAGAGCCTGGAGATATATATATATATATGGATGTAGGAGAGCCTGGAGGGCCTTTCCACACAATCCTATATCCCAGAATATCAAGGCAGGAAATCCCAAGATATCTGCTTTGAACTGGGTTATCTGAGTCCACACTTAGATAATGTGAGATTTTCTGCCACAATATTCCGGGATATAGGGGTGTGGTGCAAGGGGCCCGAGAGTGAGGACCCGGATCTTCAACATCCTCCAATATCTTTGCCCTTTCTCCTCCGCAGTAACAGCAAAGCAACGACTGACGAAGAGTTATAGTTCCCAGTCCCATCTAATTTTGCGCAAGGAGAGAGAGTATGCATTGTCGAAGGCTTTCATGACCGGAATCACTGGGTTGTTGTGAGTTTTCCGGGCTGTACGTCCATCTTCCCGAAGCATTTTCTCCTGACCTTTCTCCTGCATTTGTGACAGGCATCCTCAGGGGATGGAAGGTCTGTAGGAAACTAGGAAAATTGGGTTTATATATCTGTGGAATGTCCAGAATGGGAGAAAGAACTCGTGTCTGGGGTAGGTGTGAATGTTTCAATTGGCCACCGTGATTAGCATTTAATGGCCTAACAGTTTCAAGCACTTCTAACTGCCTGGGGGAATCCTTTGTTGGGAGGTGATTAACTGGCCCTGATTGTTTCTTGTCTGGAATTCCCCCTTTTTTTAGTATTGTTCTTTATTTATTGTTATGATTTTAGAGTTTTAAATTGATTTAATTGAGTCGCCTGAGGGCTGAGAAAGGCGGTATACAAATACAGTAAATAAATAAATAAATAAAATGTTCATAGAATCATAGAGCTGGAAGAGACCTCATGGGCCATCCAGTCCAGCCCCCTGCCAAGAAGCAGGAACATTTTCCTTGATTGTTTCTTGTCTGGAGAGAATACTTCTGGAACATGGCCACACATCCCCGGAAAACTCACAACAACCGAGAGAGAGAGTCCTTTTCCCACCATCTTCTCTTTCTCTTTCAGTCTCCCTTTCATGGGGAGCTTCGTGTTTGTATCCTCCACCCTGAGGCTGGTTTCGGTGGGGGAGAAGTGTGTGTGTGTGTGTTCCTACAAAGCGTGCCACCCTCCCTTCCTTACAAGAACAGGGTTCCCCTCCATTGCAGCCGAAAGTAGCCAAATCCGGTCCAGACAGAGAGGCGATTATATGGTATACATTCGCCGCCTTTGCAGAGGGAGGAGGAGGAGAAGAAGAAGAAGAAGAAGAAGCGGGATGTGGTTTCGTGGAGGGAGGGGGGGGGATAGAGAGGGCACTGAAGGGAAGAGTTCCCTTCGCAACCCTCAAATGCGCCCGGGGGTGTTTTTCTTCCCTTTTTATGACCCATTTGCGCATTTGCAAAGCTTTCTCCAAGCAAGCGAGTCGGGAAAAGAAGGGGAGGAAAAGGAGATGGAGACATTGTATCGATATTAAGACACTTCTGTCTGGAGAAGTCCCAAATCTAAGCATTGGGTGCAGTTTAACTGGAGAGAGAGAGAGAAAAAACTCACGGGGGAAAAGTGTCAAAAACGAGTGATTCACAAAAAGCGCGTCCGCATTTGCGACAGGAAGATTCGCGTCTGTTTCTGTGTGTGTGTGTTTATGGAGGGAGGAGAAAAATTTGGAGGGGGGAAAGGAGACATTGAAGGAAAAGAGGGCAGTGTGGCCTCCCGGATAGTTTTCGAGTTTTCCTGGAGAACCGCAAGGAAACGGCGTGACCGCGCTTCTCCGTGTGTGGGATGGCTCTCTCGGCCGCACCACAAGTTAAAATTAGCTTTTTCGGAGGGGAGTTTGGGGGGTAAAAGGAGAGGAGGCAAGAGATCAAACCCTGTCCTCCCTTCCTTCCTTCCCCCTCCCTCCTTCCTTCCTCCCCTTTACACACCAAAACAACCTTCGGCCTGTTGTCGCCCGCGGCTATTGGGAGGGAGAAAGAATTGTGCACTAGGTTGCCATCGCTTGGAACGGGCGTAAAACACTCCAAATACATAAATGGATGGATAGATTGATTGATAGATAGATCTCCCCTCAAATGCCTCCTCCAAGACAATATTAAATATGGTTTTCTGTGGGCGAGGAGATGGCGACCACTGGATGGCATATGGTCAGTATCAGAAACTAGAGCTGATGTGGTCTATCCAATGCAATTTTCTGAATCAGCACCCAATAGCCAAACCGAAACTAAAGCTGACCAAAAACGGATTCGTAACCCTTTTGGTACTAATGTTGGAGAATGGTCCTTGGTCCAAAAAAGGTTGGGCACCACTGCTCTAACAGTACTATGCTGGAGTGGGATCTCTATTTGTCTGTCTGTCTATCTATCTATTGACCCATTCATCTGTCCGTCCGTCTGTCTGTCTATCTATCCGTCCATCTATCCGTCCGTCCATCCGTCCGTCCATCCATCCATCCATCTATCGCTGTCCTTCTCTGCGGTGTGACGAGGTTGGAGATTCTCTCCAAGCCCCATTTTTACGCACCGAAGTGAAGCCTTCCAAGGAAAATATCACAAGATTTTCAACCCCCTAAATAGCTGCAAACCGAAGGGTTTTAAAAAATGAATCCCTATCACTGCTGCAAAACGAAGGGAAGGGAAAACACTCCCAAAGCCCCCCCGTTTCCTGTTTCTCTCCACAATCCGGTTGGGCCCAACAAGACAGGATCTTAAATGGGAAAACTCTCCTGCGCCTTGGCGTCCCTTTGGCTGGGGAACAAGGCTTCGCGCCCTCCTCTGCTTCAACTCCGGATTCAAACACGAGAAGGGGGGGGGGGGAGTCAAAGTACTATGGGGAAGGGCGACCAAACAAACGCCTTGCTTAAATATCTATCTATCTATCTATCTATCTATCTATCTATCTATCTATCTATCTATCTATCTATCTATCTATCTATCTATCTATCTACCTACCTACCTACCTACCTACCTACCTACCTACCTACCTACCTACCTACCTATCATCATCATCTACCTACCTATCTACCTACCTATAATAATAATAATAACAACAATAATAATAGGACCGATCCCTGTTGAAGATCACGAGGGCGCCCACCCGGCTCTCTATTTGGCACCACTCTCCAGCCCAGACACCCCAGCGAAGTCCCCATTCCCACTGACCACTTCCTGCAGTATCAAAGTCTGGGCTGCTGTGAGTTTTCCGGGCTGTATGGCCATGCTCCAGAAACATTCTCTCTTCACGTTTCAAGCATCCTCAGAGGTTGCGAGGCATATTGGAAACTAGGCAATTGGGGTTTATATATATGGAAGGTCCAGGATGGGAGAAAGAAATTTTGGTCTGTTGTGTGAACGTTGCAATTGATCACCTTGATTAGCATTGCAAAGCCTTGCAGCTTCAAGGCCTGGCTGATTCCTGCTTAAGGGAATCCTTTCTCCCACCCTGAACCTTCCACAGATATATAAACCTCTGGGTTGTTGTGAGTTTTCCGGGCTGTATGGTTATGTTCCAGTAGTCTTGTCTCCTGATGTTTCGCCTGCATCTATGGCATTTTCTCCTGAGGTTTCAGCCCCATCCTCAGAGGTTGTGAGGTCTGTTGGAAACTAGGGAAATGGGGTTTATAATCCTCCCTTGCTTAGGACCTCACAACCTCTGAGGATGGGGCTGAAACCTCAGGAGAAAATGCTTCTGGAACGTTGGCCTTACAGTCCGGAAAACTCACAGTAATCCAGTGATTCCGGCCACGAAAGCCTTCACAAACCTCTGAGGATGCCTGCCATAGATGCAGGCGAAACATCAGGAGACAAGACTGCTGGAACATAACCATACAGCCAGGAAAACACACAACAACCCAGCGATTCCGGCCATGAAAGCAGTTTCGTTGTGCAGATGATTCCATAAGAAATCCGTCCCCGGATGGCGTGGACACAAAACCACAGACGGAGACCAAGGGCTCCTCCATAAGAGAGCTTTTCGTGCACTTTCGGGGTCTGTTTGTTGTCTGGCCTGAAGGGCATTCAGTGCAGTGCAGACGCGGCGGCAAACTCCGTCTCCAACCCGCGTTTGCCCACCTTCCCCTCGCCCTTCCTCCTCCTGCTCACCTGGCTGGCTTGTGGCGCTCTGAGCCCGGCTGTACGCCCCTCCGTACTGGTGGTAAGGGCTGGCGTAGCTGCTGTAGTCTGCGTAGGCTTTGGCCGGGTATCCGGCGGCGCCGTTCATGCCTTGGTAGGCCTGGTACTGGTACGGGTGGAGGGCTTTGGCGTAAGGCGCCGTCGAGGGCGAGCAGTAGCCTCCTCCTCCGCCTCCTCCGCCTCCTCCTCCTCCGGGCGCGGAGCTGTAGTAATCGGCGTCGGTGGCGGAGGACTCGGGCAGCGTGGGCGACTCCTGCGGCGGGTGGCCGTGCATGGCGGTCGAGAAGGGCGCCTGGAAGTCTCCGGCTCGGATGGCGGCGGGGACTCTTCGCTCGAAGACGCCGGTCATCGTTTGGGGAAGGAAGGAGGGAAGGAGGAAGAAGGAGGGAGGGAGGCGGGAGGGCGTCGCGCTCTTCTAGGCAGCCATGGCGGGGCGGGCGGAGAGAGGGAGAGGGAGGGAGAGACAGAGAAAGAGGAGGAGGAAGAGAAGGAGAGGAAAGAGGAGGAGGAGGAGGAGGAGGCGGAGGCGCCGTCGGCTGGGAGCGCTCTCTCTCTCTCTCTCTCTCTCTCTCTGGGGCTGCGCCTGGCTCTGGCAGACTGCGCGCGGGGAGCGGAGAGGCTTGGTTAAATCCATAATTGCGCTCTTACGCACAGCGGGGTGGATCGGGTTCCATTGGCCAGAGCAATCAGGAGCAGCCAGCGACACCCGAACTCGCCCAACGAGTTTCGCACAACAAAGCGCTCGCCTTTCCCTCTGGCTTGCTTGCTTTTCCTTTCTTTCTTTCTTTCTTTCTTTCTCTCCCTCTTTCTCTCTTTCTCTCTCTCTTTCTTTCTTTCTTTCTTTTCCTCTTTCTCTCCCTCTTTCTTTCTCTCCCTCTTTCTCTTTCTCTCTCTCTCTTTCTCTCTTTCCCTCTTCTTTCACACTCCCCCCTTCACTTCTATTCAAGCKCCCTTAAAAGCAAAGAAAGGGGGCTGAATTGGTACCCCTTTATCTCWGGGWCTCTCTCTCTCTCTCTTTTTGAGTCAAGATTTTCGGACGAGGTTTTGAGGACACTATTACACACAGAGAGCGATTTATATATGCACGTGTTTATATTATATGACATTTATGTGTCTACACACACACACACACATAAGGTATGCGTCTATGTACATACACACATGCATACACAGACATCTTACATAATACAATACAATACAATACAATATATAGTTAATATAATATATACACATGGAAGGTCTCTGTGTTTGTATATACACATATCTTACATAATATCATATATAACTAATGTAACATATATACATATATATACATACATATATAAGGTATGTGAATATGTACATATATATATCTTACATAATATCATACATAACTAATGTAACATATACATATATACATACACATATAAAGTATGTGTCTTTGTACATATATATATATATATATCTTACATAATATAATATATAACTAATGCAACATATATACATACACATATAAGGTATGTGTGTATGTACATATATGTACATATCTTACATAATATAATATATAACTAATGTAACATATACAAACATATATACATACATATATAAGGTATGAACTTATCTACAAATATATACACGCGTCTTACACAATATAATATATAACTAATATATAATATACACATATATACATACATATGTAATGTATGTGTGTATATACACAAATGCACATATATCTTACATTATATCTATATAGATATAATGTAACACATGCATATATAAAATATATATGTATGCACACACATACACACATATCTTACATAATAAAATATATATGTAAATATATATAAGGTATGTGTGTATGTACATATATGTGTATGCACATACATAGCTTACATAATATATAATTAATGTAACATATACACACATTTATATATACACATATATCTTACATAATATAATATATAACTAATATAGTATATACATATATGTGTCTATATTATACACATATGTGTATATATATTACAAGGCATATGTGCATGTACACACATATCTTACATTATAATATAATATCTACACTCATATCTTATATACTGAAGGCTCTCAGTTAATTGATTCCTCGTAGGAATTGGTAGACGCCAGATAAAAGTTATTTCTGGTTGCTTGAGCCATACTGATACTATGCCCCATTCTATATGCCATAAACTATTAATATTGACATTGAAGTGCGATCATTAAAAGCGTGTTGAGAGAAATAAAAACAAACGTGGCAGCCTTTTTACTGTATAATATGGGTATTTCAATTTTATTTAAAGTATTTCCTCGGTTTTTTCGGTTGCTTGAGAGCTTCAGTTAACCGAGAGTCCACTTATATATGATATGGGTATGTGTGACTACCTTCTCTATTTATCCATGAGAAGTATATATAAGGAAGGAAGAAAAATACATTTCAAATAGCGCCTTTAGGGACACAACGGGTGTGCAGGGAACGTATGCACGCTCGACTCCCGTGTTTTGTTACCCCAAATTAAGGAGAAAGGCTCATTCGTGAGGCTGAGCCTTCTAGAGGAAAGTCGCATTGGATGTCCTATTATAATCCAGCTCAAATTGGATTATTTGGCCTTGTACATCCAGCCTTAGTGGGCCAACGAGTCCAGATTGCAACTGCTTAATTCGGAGCAGGCGTTTGAAACGCGTCGGGAACTCTTTTGGAACACAACCAGGACTAGGTTTGTTGTTGTTTAACTGCTGCCAACTATGGCGACCCTATGTCTAGGCAGAGCTAGGCAGTGCCTTTCTAAACGGATCTCTCTTATGTGCGACAGATATAATATGGAGTCTACATTGACTTGACTTGGAAGGAAGCCCCATTTGCTGCTTATTCCGGAGCAAAACGTTTTGCATAAGCTGTTTGTGTGAAGGAAGAGGTTTCATGCACCCAAAAGTGGTGGCTAAAGGTGTATCTATACCTGGCATTGGCAAAATTGGGCCTTCCAGGTGTTTTGGACTCCAACTCCCAGCATTCCTAACAGCATTCCTGCTTAAGCGGCTGAGAGGGAAAAGGAAAGGGCCTCAGGCTGTTAGGAATGCTGGGAGTTGGAGTCCAAAACACCTGGAAGGCCCAAGTTGGCCCATCCCTGATCTACACTGTAGAATGGACTTTCTCTCGTGTCTTGCTCCTGCTCTTGCTCCACCGCGGTTTATATTTGGCACATCCGGGCTGGGGAGTCCAGGCAAGCACAATCTCCTCATTGTTTGATGCCTGGGGATGAAGTGGTCAAGGCCGGAGCCTGTGGCCGCAGTGGCGGCGGCCCTTGGGCTTGGAAGAGCCTTCAAGTCCAGCCCAGCCAGAGCTTCTGCCGAGCTTGGCCTTTGCCTCCTTGGAAGACGAACAGCAGCAGCAAAAGCAGCAGCGTTGGCGGCCGCTCTTGGTCCAAATAAGGCTCCCGCTCGGGACAGGAAGCAACCTCAAGGCCACCCCAAACGGCGTGACACGTAGGAAGAAAACCCGAGCCCTTCTTGAGTCCCACTTTGCAAAAATAACTCGGATTCTGTTTCTCAGCATCGCCAGGCGCTGGTTTAAGGAGATGCTGAAGTCTTTACTAAGAGTGCCATCTAGTGGTCCAAAGGGGAATTGTGTTGTCGAAGGCTGGAATCATTGGATGCCCTTCCACACAGCCCTATATCCCAGAATATCAAGGCAGAAAATCCCACATTATCTGAGTGTGGGCTCAGGGCCCTTCCTCACAGCCATATAACCCAGAATATCAAGGCAGATAATCCACAATATCTGCTTTGAACTGGGTTATCTGTGTCCACACAGCCATATAACCCAGTTCAAAGCAGATAATGTGGGATTTTATACTGCTATGTGACAGGAACCTCAGTTAACCCAGTTCAAAGCAGATATTTTATTGATTGTGATATATAACTGATTGTTGGAACTGTTTATAACTGTTTTAATTGCTGTTTATATATGTTTATTTTCACTATTGTGTAGGCATCAAATTGTGCCTTTTGTAAGCCGCCCTGAGTCCCCCCTGGGGGGGGGGGGTTGAGAAGGGCGGGGTAGAAATACGCGAAATAAATAATAATAATAATAAATATTGTGAAATTTTCTGCCTTGATATTCTGGGATATAGGTTTGTGTGGAAGGGCCCTGGTATGCTGTGAGTTTTCCCAGGCTTTATTTATTTTATTTTATTTATTGACAGTATTTATATTCCACCCATCTCACCACGCAGGGGACTCAGGGCGGATTACAATGCACATATACATAGCAAACATTCAATGCCATAGACCAGGGGTCCTCAAACTTTTTAAACAGAGGGCCAGGTCACAGCCCCTCAAACTGTTGGAGGGCCAGGTTATAATATGAAAAAAATTACTTCCTATGCACACGGCACATATTTTATTTGTAGTGCAAAAACACCTAAAAAAAATACAACAATTAAAATGAAGAACAATTTTAACAAATATAAACTTATTAATATTTCAATGGGAAGTGTGGGCCTGCTTTTGGCTGATGAGATAGGATTGTTGTTGTTGTTGTGTGCTTTCAAGTCATTTCAGACTTAGGTTGACCTTGAGTGAGGGCCAGGTAAATGACTTTGGAGCTGGGTTGTTGTAGGTTTTTTCGGGCTATATGGCCATGGTCTAGAGGCATTCTTTCCTGACGTTTTGCCTGCATCTATGGCAAGCATCCTCAGAGGTAGTGAGGTCTGAGGCTGCTTTCCATAGATGCAGGCGAAACGTCAGGAGAGAATGCCTCTAGACCATGGCCATATAGCCCGAAAAAACCTACAACAACCCTTCATCAAGACTTTTGAGCTGCTGCTCCATTGTCCACTTATGACACTGAGTCCTTGATGGACTCACACATTGCTGAAAGATGTTGTGGTGTCGTAAATTAGTTAAATTAGCCTCACCGCATAAAGCGGTACCTACATTTCCTACTTGACAGATGCAACTGTCTTTTGCGCTGCATAGGTCAAAAGCAACCTAGATTTAATGGTCAGGAGCTTACTCCAATCCGGGCTGGCTTCAAACTTATGACCTCTCAGTCAGTAGTGATATAATGCAACTGGCTACTAACTAGCTGTGTCATGGAGCCCCTGGTGGTGCAGTGGGTTAAACCCTTGTGTCTGCAGGACTGAAGACTGACAGGTCGTAGGCTCGAATCTGGGAGAGCGCGGATGAGCTCCCTCTATCACCTCCAGCTCCTCATGCGGGGACATGAGAGAAGCCTTCCACAAGGATGGTTAAAACATGAAAACATCCGGGCATCCCCTGGGCAACGTTGTTGTAGACGGCCAATTCTCTCACACCAGAAGCGACTTGCAGTTTCTCAAGTCGCTCCTGACATGACAAAAAAAAAAGAAAAAGAAAAAAAAAAAGAAAAGCAAAAGCTGCATCACAGCCCAGTCCTTTGCCTCCTTTATGGCCATGTTCCAAAAGCAATATCTCCTGACTGTTGGGTTTCATCCCTGGTTTGCACAAGTCTCTTGTGTCACTAAGTCTCCAGTTCTCAATGACTAGCTAGACTAGATATAGCATTAGAGAGAGGGATTCATCCCCCCCCCCATTCCTATGCATCAGTGTTTCTCAACT